GTAAAGCCTGGGCTTAGGTCTGTAAGAGTTGCTTTTCTTCGACCTGAAACGTTTCTCCAGTGTGGCTGAATTACAACAAATTGAAAAGAAAACAGAGCAATCCCTCGTCATGTCATCATCATCAATGTCATCACTAAAGGAGCAGGAACCAGATTTTAGGTTTGGGGGGAATTATGTTTCCACATCGTTCCAGGTTGGTAATTGAATTCCTAATTTTGATTGGGGGAGTGTTGGTCTAGTGGTTAGAGCGGTGCACTGAGAAGCCTGCACTCTGGGTCCCTGAGCAACACCCTTAACCCCACACTGCTCCCCAGGCGCCGCACAGTGGCAGCCCACTGCTCCCCAAGGGGATGGGTTAAAATTTCTCCAGTGTGAGATTAATAGAGTTAAATTATTATTACTATTATTATTTGAAAAAAATCAGTATTTTTCTTTAATACCTCCTTTTAACCCCCATAAGATGAAAGGTTCAAGGACTTCTGGAAAGGACAAAACATCTCCCAGAGATGGTAAATATTGTAGAAAACATTAATTCATATTTAAGGATCAAATCTGTTGGTCGTGGAAAATGCTTAGTGAGGAAATGGATCCAGATTAAACTCCTTGAATGTAAAATTGGGCCTTTTAGAGGAACTCAGACATAATTTCACCAATGTCCACATTTAGACGCCTAAATGCTCTTTCTGTTAAATCAACAGTAGTCTGTTAAGCTGCTGATGAGTATTTCAGCTTCCATGGTCCATCAGCTGCCTTCTGGAGACTGAAAAGCAGCTGCAGCAGTAGAGGAGCTTTGGTGGGGAGGAGGCAGAGCTGCTTACTTCCTGCTCCTCCAGCATCACTGTGGGCCTCCTGCTGAGCCTCCTGATGAGCTGCATCCATTTTAGCAGATCTCATCCAGGAGGCCCCCCAGACTAAACATGATGAACCTGGGATGCAAGCAGCCGGCCAGCAGGTGATCATTCTGGGCTAAGCTGGATGCAGAGGAGGCTCACCTTCTTGATGTTGGTGTAGGTGTAGAAATACAGCTCCCTGCCGATGTTGAAGCAAACCCGCTCCGACTCCTCGCTCGGGTCTTCGGGCTGCAGCTTCACCATGGAGACCCGGACCGGCGGCAGGAACCCCGCCGGGGAGGAGCTGGCCGCAGCGTTGGAGGAGGAGGAGGCGGCCCCGGGCCCCTGCAGCAGCCCGACCCCTGCTCCGGGGATCGGTCCGGGTCCGGCCCCGGGCCCCAGCGTGGCTCCGGCGGTCGGGCCCCGCGGCAGGCCGCCCCGCTGCTGTGAATCTGAGAGGGTGAGCAGCTTGTAGAAGCCCTCCCTGGTCCGGAACTGGGATTTAATCTCATTGATATCCTTCAGAGCGCCGCCATCTCCGGCCATTTTCAGTGCAAACGAGCTGCACAGGAAACAGTGATTCTGACCTGGAAATAAAAAAAAAAAACTGCGATAAAAATAAAAGGAGAACCAGGAGAATCAGGACTGATGGGAAAGAGCAGCAGCCGAGCTCAGCCAGGCCCGCTGCAGCACAGCCGCTCCGGTCCGATGCATCCTACAGCCGCTCCGCTGCTGCCTGATGCCCAACCCCGCAGAGCCAGCTTCTGGGAGCCGGTGCAAGCATCATCCTGGGCCGGTGTGTCCCTCCGATCATCCAGGGGAGGTGGAGCGAGTGAGACGAGCTGCTGCTGCTGCTGGTGGTGGAAACTGGCACTGCGGCGGAGGTCCGAGGGAGGGCGGCTAGATGGTGCTGCTGATGCACCTTTGGTAGATATTGCTGCTCCTTTCAAGGGGATTGCAAGTCTAATTTATTTTAAATAAAACTAAAAAACAAACAAACAAAACAAAATAAAACAAATCAACGAAACAAAAAAAACTGTGTACAATGGCGATTCTAAAACAAAATCACATGGGTGGGCTGCCCCCCCCAAAAAAAATAAAAAAATCATTAAACAAAAGGGCAATAGTTTACAATAGAGTATTAGGGACAGACTAGAGAGTTTTTATTTATTTTATGTTTTTTTTTATTTTTTAGAATAAAGTCATAATATGATGAATATTATGAAGAAAGTAAGTTGAAAAATGATGGTGGTTCTCCGTGTTTGGGGTGGATTCCCGGGCGGGTACCGGCTACTCCACGGGACCTGGGCCCCCAGTTCCCGGCTGGGGCTGCGTGCCCCTCGGGTCTCTGGTCCCTGGGGCCCATGGCCGGATCCACTTTAGGGTGGCTGGCTGCCGGCGGAGCCTGCGGACTCATCCCCACGGCTCCCCGGGGGCTTCAGCATTGCAGTGTTTTGGGGATTTCCTCGGGGTCGTCTGTCCTCCTCCCTTGGTGGGGGGATTTCCTTGGTTGGCCCCTCCTGGGCGCCTTTGCTCTTGGGGTCCCTCTGGGCGTCTGGGGCTTTGGGCCCCCCGGCGCTCGCCTCAGTGCTCTGGAGGGGCGTGTCTTCGGCTCTTCACAACCACTACTGAGCATTTTTACTTTGGATAAACTTTGCATGTACAAGTGCAGTCTCACAAACAACTACAGGTGCTTGGTTCCAGGAACTTAGAGATTCACTTCCATACAGAAAGCCCATTTTCTTATCTGCCACAGTATACATGTCAGATTAAATAGTCAGTTAAATAGTAGTATAGTGCTTATACTTCAGCGATGGTACTAAGGTGTTACTTTATTGTACCTCTAATACTATATCCATTATTTGTGCTCTTCTTTTCACATCTCTTTACAGGTGATTAAGCAGACTAAACATGTTTTATCGTTGTCTCCCTTTTATCTCCTCTTTCTTTAATCTTTTTTCCTTTTTTTCTGTTTTTCCTCTCCTGTTCTACTTACATTGCAGTGTCCATTGTGAAGTAGTAGAGAACTGTGATACACGGTGCGAGGAAGAACACAGATTTATTTTACGTTTGCAGATGGAGAGACACCTTCGGTGCACTGTCAGTGTGCTCTGCCAGGTTGGTTTTTCACCCCTGCATATATAAAACCATCTTACACACAAACATTGGTTACTCCCAAGAAAAACAACTTCAGTCCATCAAGGAGCTACATCTTTCTCTAGCCAGATGAAAGATAGTAAAAGTGAAAAAATGTCAGGAAAGGCAGCTGTCTTCCTTTCCTGCCACGAGGGAGGCTGAGTAAACCCTAACCACTTATTCATATCTCTCATGACCTTCCCTTCAACTTTCGCACGGAGGGCCCGGTCCACACACTCTTCATTATTGTTATTTCACACCATACAGCAAGCAGCTGAGAATTTATAGATGTTTAGATTGAAAAAACTCAGGTGGACCCCTACCGTGCCATTTTGGCATAGTTTGGCATAACTTTGATCGTGCCAGTGCCTACCTCTGGTAGTCTATGGGCAAAAAGCAGGATACGCCCATGACAGGTCACCTGTCCATCACAGGGCAATGGTATTTCTTTTGTCTTACCTTCAGATGAAGAGATGAAGTCCTGATAAAAAAATCATGATCTCACTAGCAGGAGATAACCAGTCCCAGAGCTTGTTTTGCTGTAATAACTGGGTGATTACCTCAAGATATAAAACTAGAAATGATGTATCTCCTCACGATTAAGCAGATTAAGTCTGTTTATTTCACACTAAAGACCAACATACTCATGAAATCAGGCAAATTTCAATGCATATTTAATGCAGTTTAATGACTAAATTTATGAAGTTTAGCATTGCATATTTGGCCAATCATTTTACGAATTTTACAAGGTGGGTTTAGCCTCCCTAGTATTCAATGAGAAGTCACCACTGCTGCAGAATCTGTGTGAAAGTTGACCTTCTGTGGTGACTCTAAACAAAGGAGCAGCTGACAGGAAACATAAACAGCATAGAAATTATGTGAGCGAGGCTGAGAACTGAAAACTAATGAATTACTGTTGAACAGGTTATATGGCGACTGGTGGCCTAGTGACTAGAGCATCAAGGACAACTACAGGTTATCAGCATGAGGTGTCCTCAGTACTATGTTTGTCTATTAAATATTGAACCAGTTTAATTTATTGATTGAAAAGGGGCATTGGTGGAGCTCGGGGTTTGGGGGTGGATGCCCGGGTGGCTACTGGATTGTTCCTGGCCGGTAGGAGCCCCAGCCAGGCCCTGGAGGGTGGGGCACCCCTTGGGCCTCGGATCCCTGGGGCCCATGGCCGGATTCACTTCGGAGTGGCTGGCTGCCGGCGGAGCCCGCGGACTCGTCCCAGTGGCACCCGGGGGCTCCGGAGTAGCGGTGGCTGGGGGACTTCCTCAGGGCTGTTTCTCCTCCTCCCTTGGTGGGGGTCGGATTTCCTGGGCTGGCCCCTCGTTGGTGCCTTCGCTCTTGGGGTCCCTTTGGGCGTCTGGGGCTTTGGGTCTCCCGGCGCTGGGCTCAGTGCTCTTGGGGGGCGCCTCTTCGGCTCTTCATAACCACTATTAAGCATTTTTACTTAGATACCTAGATATTCACTTCCATAAAGAAAGCCCATATTCTGATATTCAGCCACCACAGTTTACATGTCAGATTAAATAATACTACTTATACTTCAGCAATAGTATCTAGGTGTTGCTTTATTGTACCGTATGTCTCATACCATGTCCGTTGGTTGTGCTGTTCTTTTTACATCTCTTTGCAGATGATGAAGCAGACTGGAAATGTTTTATCATTATCTCCCTTTTATCTCCTCTTTCTTTCATCCTTTCCTGTTCTACTTACATTGCAGTGCCCATATAATCTGTAAAACTCCCTGCATAATTATAATAAAGCAATTTATATGCATAAAACAAGCGTAACACTATGGCGATAGCCATACTGCTCCACTTATGAAAGTAAAATCTGTTGGGCTCTTTTTTTGGCATCAAGAAAGTTATTCTTATTGCCACATCGCCAAACAGGACACTGTTAAAAAAAAAAAGGGGCTTAATTTTTTTAACCTTCTAACATCCTTCTAACACCCTCTAATTCTAACATCCACCCCATTATTCCCATTTTAAATAAAGACACAGCCAAGCTTATGTTGTGTTATTTACCTTTATTAGAGTGTAATGCCAGTAACACACACAATGCAACGCTGACACACAAGCTCAGGTCACACAACACAGCAGAAGAGCCGGTGACGTATGGAAGCCATATCTGTCAGTCCCTGCATGCTGTGATCTATAATACTGTGCAGGAATGAAGGAGACACTCTTCTTCATTTCCTAAAGTGGGACCATTTTTCACTAATCTTTCAGGGTTTTTCTCAGTTCTCTGGTGTCTCCAGATTTTTCCTGATATCACCAACAGAGTTGAAAAGAGCATAAATAAACGAGCAGACTCCCTCTGGTGGAGGGATAAGAGCTACAAACAATCTCCTTCTGGCATCATTTCCTCCTCTGCCTCCTCAGAGTCACAGCAACGCCTACCGACCGTAAACAAACGTTCACAAATGATCATGCCTGGTGTTTTTTCTTGCTGTTCCCAGATGATTTCTGAGAATCAGGAAGGTTTCCCAGGAGTGTTAGGAGAGTCAGGACAGCAGGACGTAGTTCTCAGCGATTTCCAGGAGATACAGATTGGATAGACCCAGCTGGTCGTCAACCTGACGCGTTTCCAAAACCACCATCCTGCAGGGAGAAGATCAGAGGGTTCAGAGGAACTACCTCATATTCAAAGACTTGTTTACAGTCTTGTCCCAGGTTAATCTTGCTGTTTAGGTATAAGTTAACCTTCTTCCTGATGGTAGAAATCTGAGGACCACAAAGGTCGTTAAGCAACGATGTTTCTCCTTTTGGTCAGTATCAGACCTTAAGGGGGTAATTTCTCTTTTTTACTGCCTGAAATCGATAAGTGCTTTTACATAAATGTTATTATTGGTGTATCATTACCTCCAATAATATTCATATACATCTTTATAAGCTACAAATTTACTTTAGTTCATATGTCACCTGTTTGCGAAGCTGCATGAGAGTTTGCCATCCTGAAATTACAAACGAGGGACAACATAATACTAACACGAAATAACGACGCGTTTTCCCTATGCTTGCAGATCATTTGGAGATGCTAACCCAACAACTGAAAGTCTGCATTAATGTAGAAAAATGCAGGTAATGTACTGTATCTCCTTGACAAGTGATTGAACTCTTCTGCCTTAATTAGCGTAAAGCTAACTTTTTCCATTCGCTTTAATTAGTCAGTGCCATAAAATAAAGACAGAAGATCCTGCAAATATATACGATCTTGTTGGTATAGAATTGTAGGTTTATTTTGGTTTATTAACTTTCAATGCTGACTTTTTCTCACACTAAATTCCAGTTTCTAGAGACTTCACTTCCGAGGACATGGTTTCGTATACGATGTCGAGTCTTTTTGACAAACGGCGCCTACCTTTGCTGCAGTATGTGTTTAAGGCAATTACGTGCTAGGGAAGGGGTAACCAATTAAAAATCAGCATGGTCCGAATAAAGAAAATCAACAACCAGTAAAGGTTCTGAGACATTTTAATTTTAATCTGTTACTTTAAACAGAATTTAACACTGAAATAAAATTAGGTGTTTATCCATCCATGTTATACATTGAGTTTAAAAATAAAAAACAAATAAAAAAAAATATAAATTTTTCCTTTTTAAAACCTAAAGTGTTTTTTGAAGTAGAGAAGAACAATATTTCAGTTTGATTTATTTCCAGATTCACATATTTTATAAAACACCTGATCGGACCATTTAAAAAAAAAAAAATGTTTTTTATGGCTTACTGAGAGCAGTGGGCTTTAGGCTAACCTGCAAGGCTTTAAACCTGGGTTTGAATGGGAACAAAGCCATTCTCAAGCACATATCAAGGTGACCTCTGGTATAGTGTTTTGTTTAAGTGAAAAACCCCCGTTGCCCCACTAGATGACAGATTTCTGACAGATTCAGTAAGAAAATAATAAAACTTTTTTTTATTATTTTAAGAAAAAGAACAGCCTTGTTACAGATGGTCCCTGTGTTAGCCTCTTAAGTTAATGTATTGTCCAGAATGCTGCTAAAATATATAATTAATGCAGGAGTTACCAAATTGGGGTCCACGCCCCCTAGAGGGAGTTCAGTGTACACGGCAGGGTTGAATTCTTTTACACAATAAAATAGAGAGTTAAACCTAAAATAATCACTCTTTAAAGGTGGAGGTTTTGAGATTTAGATTGTAGTTAATTTTATGGCAATATGTATTTTGCTGCAAGTAACTTTCTTGTAAAGTGAAGTAGGTCTAGCAAGAAAAGTTTGAGAACAATTGCAACAAAGACTGTTGGTGATGTCGTAGGCAGCTTGCCTTGAAAATCAATTAGCATCTCTTTTTTATAAAACAGCACCTTTTTTAATAATTTTTTCTTTGTGTTGTATAATCTGCACCCACTTCCTGGCTGATGCTACCTGCTTCCATTTGGCTGACTAAGCTGCAATAAACCGCATCAGAGGATTGGAGCAGCATCATCTCCAGATCCACATTTATCTGTGGCAGGATTGAGGGACAGTAGATGGGACATACCTGTCTGACTTCACTATTCTGTAGATCTTTTTGTGGTCTGTCATCTCCTCCAGAACCTCGGTGAAACCTTTAGTTCTCCTCTGCCAGCCGTGACGCCAAACAGCCAATAGTGTGTCCTCGATGTACACTGCAGACAAAAACAAATCTCTGATAAGCTGATTTGTTCTTTATTAACCGTTATGAACGCCGCCAACATCTGTTGGAAAGGTCTGTTTTCTGAACAAATACGCAGATTTAATATAAAATTATGTAGAAAATAACGAGTTCTCAACTGATCATTTATCAGCAGATGGCTGCTGGTTGTTCTCACCTATAGATTCAACTTCATGAGAGAAAGTGGCCTCCTGTGGATGGTGTCTGTTGCTCTTCAGCTCTCCATCCAGGTTAACCATTTGTACCGACCCTGTAGAAAAGACACCTTTAGAGCACAGCTAGAGCAGAGAGCAGTGGGTGGGCAATCTACTGCACATATGACCAGATCTCTAAAGATCTGGTCATATGTGCAGTAGGTGTGTCTCCAACTTATTAAAGACCTGAGTTTCATATATCTTTTAAATGCTTTTCCTAATTCAAAAGAAAAACGTAAAAATAACATAAGAAAAAATTACAGAAGTAAATTACAAAGTAAATAAAAACAAATATATAGAAAACAGGAGGAACATTCATCCATTATCGTAACCGCTTATTCATTTATGGCAGGGGTAACCAATTAAAAATCAGCGGGGTCCGAATAAAGAAAATCAGCCACCAGTAAAGGTCCAGAGACATTTTTAATTATGATCTGTTACTTTAAACAGCATTTAACACCGAAATAAAATGCAGGTGTTTATGAATCCATGTTTTTAAAGTAAAGAACAACAATCTTTCAGTTTGGTATATAGACAATTTCCTGATTCACTTTTTTTTTAACTGCCACTTTTTTTCTTTTTTAATGGCTTAAAAAGATAAGTGGGCCTTAGGCTGGCCTGCGATGCTTTAAACCTGGGTTTGAATGGTGACAAAGTCATTCTCAAGCACATATCAAGGTGTTCATTTGGAGCCTGGATTGATTTTTATTTTTGATTACGTTCATGGTGGAGAATCCTGCTTCACAGCAGCAGGTTGAGCCAAACATACTCAAAATGTGCAGGGTCATCTTAGAGAATGCCATTTCACTTTTCCTTCACTAGTTCACCATGCTTCTTCCAGCAGCGCACACTTTCTTTCACTTTTTTTTTCATTGTCTTCTCCTTCTTTCCTATTGCTTGGTTTGCCAAAGGTTTGCCTGCTGTGTCTAAAAGTAGCAGCAGCAGCAACCCAGACTGACAGCAGCTCATTGGCTAATTTGTATGACGTGCAGCCTGGTGCCGGACGGTTGAACAACTCCAGCTGCTAGTGTGCTTACAGTGTACCTGTGATCTTCCTCCTCTGTCCTCATCCACAGTTCTGCATATTCTGTGCTATGTTTTAAAATGCACTATTCCACCCGCGGTTGTTGTGTTGCAACAACTTCTTTTCCCACAAACAACCCAGGATGCATTTTGGCTCTTAGATGAGCTAAAATAACTCCTCGATTTTTTTCTAATTTAAAATTTGAACAAAAATAGTATCCAGAAATGTATACTAAAAAACAGTTTTGGGAGTAACTTTGCCATTTTCTTAGATTATAATATTTTTAAATGTTATATGTAAAAAAATATTTGACATATTTAAAATATTTTTTTCATATTTATTATTTTTTTCCACAGATTTTATATTTTCAGGTTTTATTTTCCAATTTCTGGTTTTCAGATTTATGAGTCGCATTCTAATCAGATTAAGCTTCCTGGATCACAAAAAAAAAGAAATACAACAATGAAAACATTAATCTGTTCATTTTTTTTAGAATGAAATTTTGAAAAAAAATTGTTAAAAAATGTTTTGAACGAATATCAATGAATGAATGAATGACTTTGTTTTGTGTGGCAACTTATTTTGTATACAGGACCTTAGTTATTTGTTACCAACCATTATAATAATATGGTAATAAAAGCACAAATGAGTGCTAAAGACTTAGAAGCAGCTCTGGATCTATACTGTATTTAGCTTCTGTTCTAGTTTTCTATACCTGGGAGGATTTTGGTCTGTACTGGAAGAACAATACTAGGGAGCTACTTACTCTCCATGAGCACGAGCAGTGAGTTGCTGTCCAGCTGATTTACTTGAACTATGTCAGGACAAGGTTTCTCTGTAGGGACATATAAAGACACCTCACAGTCAGAAACAGCAGAATCAGAAGAAACAGAATTAACAGAGGGGAACGTCGGCTCACCCATGCCTGAGTTGAAGAACCAGGACGTGTTGGAGTTCAGGTTGATGTATTCTATGGCGACCGGTACGTTGGGGTTGGACCCCCGAGACACACCTATGCACACCATTGGGTACTCCTCATGAGGCTTTACCACTATCTCAAACACCTTCAGAGGGTTGGGCAGTGGAAAGTCAAAATTCTATATGATGGAGAGAGAGAAAGTCCACTCAGAAATCTCAAAGTGAAAAGATAAAACTTTAGATTTTTACAGGTTAATATATTTATCTACCCAGCAACAGGACCTATCTTTACTGTGGGGGATCCAGAAGCTTGTTCAGGATGGAGGGAAAAGGGGTTCCTTCAAATTGTCTCAGATTTTCACACTAATCTATGGGCTTAAATCAGTGGCGGCCCCAGAGACGGGCCAAGGGGTGCTATAGATACTGCTGGAAATGTCAGTGCACCCCAAAACAATCTACATTTATACTTTTTTAAATCAAAGTTAATATTCTTGTAGACGTGACTGTTTCCTCATAAAAGACAACCAAATGAAAAAAAAGGAATTGTAGTGCTGCTATAGCATGGAGTTAGAGCACATGACTCATATATTGGCTGTTCCAGGTTCAAATCCAGCTGCCAAATGTCTCTCCCCTCCCTTGCAATCTAATTTTCTGTCTGTTTAACCAGAGTTGCCAGAGATGGGCGGCACCCTTCATCCCCCTGCAGCCGCTGCAGATCCGCAGCTCCACGTTCCGTTATTTAATAAATGCTTGAATATTGGGTCCTAAGTTCTGAGTCATAACATGTTTAGAGAGATGGGACCAAAGTGGAGATGTTTGTTCCTACTGTCGATCTCGCGTTGGAGGGGTAACCAGTAGATCTAACCAGAATGTTCCCGGACAAATAAATCTGATGCAAAACATTGTCAATAAAAAAGAATACAGTTGTGGAAATGGCCTAGTCAAAGACCAGAGCTAAACTCAATACAAAAGGTTGAAAATCTTTGCAGTAAGAAATTGGCATAATTAAGTCTTAATTAAACATAGTTAAGTCATAATTAAGTCTTTCAGAAACCCAGGAGAACTTATTTTAAGTCTAGCAGCTTTTGCGTTTTGGCCTTATCTCTCTTTGACAAGTAAAAAATATAACTGAATCTGTTTTTTTTTTAACACAGGAAGTAAAATCTAAATAATCTCAGTAGCTGGTGCAGATTAGATGATTCCTACTATGTTCTGATAAATAAAAATAGATTATTATTAGGTTGTGTCCTCTGTTCATCGTGGCTCTGGTTCCAGTTTAGAATATAAAGTCATACCTTAGTACTCTAGCTGTGCTGTTTTTTTTACTACATTTCCTGTTTATCGGTTATAATCTTCCTGTTCTGAAAGTCTACCAGAACTCTAAAAAAAAATCAAAACAAAACAACTGGACAACAATCAACTAGTTTATTTTCAGTTAATTTCTAGTCTAGTTTTTAACCTGTTTTTGAAGAGCCTCATCTTCATCTTCTCCTCTGGACCTTGAATTAATCTCTTCCTCATCAGTAACTATCCAAAAATACAATTCGGCAAATCCATTATCTTTGACCCTTGCTTCTATCCTTTATTGCATATTGATTAGTCCCACTTTTTTAGACAAGCATGAATTTACTGACTACAGCCTGAAATTTCCATCAGGACTTGTTTGATCTTTGCATGCAGTCACCAGCAAATACATTTAACATTACAGTTTTTTTTTCTCTTCTTATGAAATGCTTTAAAATGCTTTAAATGAGGGGTCTTCAACGTTTTCAAAGCCAAGGACCCCCAAACGATTGCGATATGGAGTGGAGACCCCCTAATTATTTATATTGTATGAATTTGTGTTATATCAAACTGGTCCTATAGTCACACTATTACATATGGAGTAATGTAACGAAAGTAATTTCTCCCTGGGATTATTAAAGTATTTCTGATTCCTGGTTGATGGGACAGGTGTTGTGAATGAAACAGTGCCCAGCTTGAAAGAGCTCCTGTGTGTTGCTAATGTGTGCATTG